ATATTAGACAAAAGTATGAACGATATTGAGCAAATACTACACTGTAAAATCAATCGAGGAATCGAGCGGGGAATCGAGCGGAGGGTTTATAAAATCAATCGAGGAATCGAGCGAGGTTCAGTATAGAATCAATCGAGGAATCGAGCGAAGAACCGACTTGCTCGATTGATTTTGATAGTTGAAACTCGGTTTTCGAGCGCCGATCGAAAACACTTTATTTTCGAGCGCCCGATTGAAAAAAATCAATCTGAGAGCCTATGGGCACACACACACACACACACACACACACACACACACACACACACACACACACACACATGCGCACACACATGCGCGCACACACACACACACACACACACACACACACACACACACACACTCACACTCCTCTCACACACACAACCCAACCCAACCCCACACTGCACCTGCGATTACAAACCTTAAGTCTTAAGTGAAATACACACACACACACACACACACACACACACACACACACACACACGGCACCTCGAAAGCTGTCTTGAAGAATATGCTGCAGATCTCTGACTCCCAAGCGTTCCAGAAACTAGTCCAAACCGCAAGCATTGCAAACACGTATCTGATGATTCGCCGAATATCTATAACTTGTTTGCTAACTAAAAGCTCGCCACCCAACATAGACCCCAAACCGTGCTTCTAGCCCTAAGGCGACTATCTCAATCCGTGTGCTCCAGACATTCCCCAGACAGCAACAGACCAGAACTCAGTCATTGTAAACCAAAGGCAAGTCTCCTCCTCGATCCGAAATTGAAAGCCTGAATCCCACACCACTTAGCGGATATCGCGAAGCCACCAGGCTGGAACCCTTGACCAAAGCATTGCAGAACGAGCGTGAAAACTCTCCGACAGGAATAACAAATAAAAGCCTGCCTTGTGGAAGCAGTCCAGGTACTGGCCCAGCTCGGTCGGATCCATGTGCGCCCAAGTGCCCCTTCTTGTCCTCCAATTCACCATCGGACATTCGTCCTCGCGGTGTCCTGCGTAGTTCAAGAGCAGGCGAGAACGAGACCGATTGATTTTGAAATCACAGAAACAAAGACCAACCCTGTCCCATGGCACGGGCTTTCGGACCAGGCGCTGGCTCGGTCAGGATATTGATAGTGGTAAACACCCGGTGCCTGTTCGGGCACTCTGATAATCACAGTCTGAGTTAAAGGTCTCATCCCATGCTCCTGCCTCGCGTCACTCGGGCGCAAGACCTTCTCCAAGGCTCGGGTGAAATTGATGAGCTCTCCATGAGCCAGAACCAAGCCTTCCGGCCCTTTGCGAAACAGCACGCATGCCTTCAAGAAGGTCTCGGCGTGAACCGAGGACCAAGTAGTGCCACCGGCCACATCCGCCATCGTGATGGTCTTGCCTGCTGCTGACAATGCCGATAGACGTTAGGTACATAGCCTCATTAGAAATCTGATCCTGAGGTCAGAGCCCGACTTGCGCTCCGTTGCAGAGTCTGTTGGAGCTGTCATGGCAATGGGACGCTCTTGCGGCCGGGTGAGGATCCTTCAAGAAGCTGCTGTGCTAGGGTTCGAAAGTCGGAGACAGCGAGGATTTTTACATGTTTAGCTTTTTTTTCAATCCAAGTGTGCATAGTTGCATACCATGGATTCTATGCAACTATAACAATCGGACCGGGGCAGATCGGTACACTTGTTTGCCGTGGACAGCAAGCAACTCACCTCCACATCTTGACAAATGGTCTGTGTGCTGTGCACTCTGTGCAACTGTAACAATCGGACCCGGGCAGATTTGCATACATGCATAGCATCGACGGAGTGCAACTATAAACAAAAAACCGGGAAGCATCCAGACCACGGCTCTGAAGTCGGTAAACAGCCTGTGCATGTTTCAGCACTCAGGCACGTAGATAAGAGCTGCTCATGGCTCGGGCGATATAGAGGCCGAGCTTTCTTCACACCAACGGAAACCCCTACGACGGGTGATCTTCTGCCACGCCTTCTTGGAGCGAACGTCTCGTCCGAGCTCGGACCAAAAGTCTGGCAGTGGCGCGGAAAGGCCACAGGCTGGTAGGACCCGGCAGAGAAGACGTTCCATGACATTTAGGCTAATGGCGTTGCCAAACGCACCGCCCAGCGCACTGAGAGGCACTCCACACTGCTTCATCTCGATGGTCAGCAGATCGGGCACACCTGGCAAACAGCTACAGGATCTCACTCTTCTGAATCGTGGAATCTGTAAAACAGACAGGCTCAGTCGCCTTGAAGACGGCCCAATTCAATGAAGCTGATGCGTTGGGCCCGGGATGGTACGTACCAAGCTCGGGCGGAACCACGGTGCTTCGTGAGCGTCGGACATAGCTCGGTCCCAAGAAGCCTTGTTTTATGACTGAGATTTCGGACATCATGAGACGCCCATCAAAGCACTGCATGGGGTGGGCCTGTGCTGCCCTGCCGCCACGTCCACAACGACCCCTCGTTGACGCAGACGCCGCTCACCCAGGACGCTCACAGCCTCGGGCATGACAAATGTGGACATTCACATTCGGTGACAATAATAATTGACTCCTTTGCGATTGTTAACCTATGTCGTAATGGTCAATCAAGCCGACATGACTGATCGAATGCTGAATGAATAATAATGATGTCTTGCGATTCTCAAACGCTCTTGGCCTCGGGCATGTTCGAGGTTCCTCTTGAAAGTCTGGTTCTGCTTCTCCTCGTTCAGGACCGGATCTTCTCGGACAGCACGCTTGTGCAGGAACCCGATCGTTCGGGCCTGGCAGAGCGGTTTGAAGGACTCACTCTATGCAAGATTCGCACCACCTGCCGTGCTTCCTTGCAATTCCCAGCCTTATATATCAGGGGCTTCGGAAAAATGCTTTCCATCGAGACCCCTTCGGCCACAAACTCGGACAGTATGGCTACCAAGAAGAATCGCTCCCGTCGCTGAGGTACTCCGTGATCGCTCGTGCAAAGGATGCGGTGTTGCACAGCCTGCGATTCTATGTCATAACTAGGAGCTCCTTGCACAATCGATGGGCCGAGTTGCATAGCCGGCACCTCTCAGGGAGGTCACGGCACTGTTGACGACCGCTCGATGTCTCGACCAAAGGCCGGGCACGTTTTCCATCACGGCTGCCTGAGTTCAGATTGAACATCATCGGAATAACATCATTGACGGGCCATCTGCAATGCCCTAGCTTCCCTTGCTCACCTCCCTTTGCCGAGCACCCCACACGTGGCTTCTCCTCCAGAACCCTCTTAACGGATATCTTGAAGAGATTGCCGGTCTTCCCTCGGACTCCTGCAACAGTGCATTCTACACGCACATGGTTTATCACTACTGCATTTGCTAGAATCTGATTATTCCTCTCAGTCCTTGCTGGTTGCCCGCCACGCTGTAGTCTTGGCACGGACAGGAGGAGATGTATAAGTCGACGCCTTCTACCCGCTCTCGGCTGACCATGTCCAGTGCGATTGCCTCGGGCGCACGCTGGATGAACCGATGTGTTTGGTGCATCAACGCGCGAACGTTGGCGTCCAGCTCTGACACCATCTTCAAACGGAAGTCCACGCCCAGGAAGTGCAAAGCCAGTGCCTTGGAATGGGATGCTATTATTGAAATTAAGAAACTTCTGTTTCTTGACTACACATTTATGCCGAGATGCACCGGTGTCATACCCGGTGCAGTCGGACACCACGCCGATAGGCGGCATGACGGCAAGCTCGGACTCGGGCCAAAGTAACAGTTTCGGCTCGGGCTGGACAGGTCGTTTTTGCAGCACCAAACACAATGCATGCATGGAGGAGCAAATGCCAAGTCGGACGCCTACACTCCCAATCTCTAGACCTGCAGCAGCAACAAATTAGAAGCATGCTTGCTTGATGAGCAAGAACCATGTCCTCAATGCCTTTTCCACACAAACACAGCCGCCTCCCCTGCAACTGTGTCCGCGGACCCTGTGGTCACCGGTATCGACAGCGCATTTCTCGTTCTGTCATGGCTACCATGACCTCCTTAAGCCGTGCGTTCTCGGACATAAGACTTGCCAACTCGGCCTCCATCTTGCGCATGTGCTCGGCCCCCTTCCTCGGCTATGTGCACACTATTGAATATCAGGTCACGGCTGATTTAGGGATGCTTCCTGCAGACTGTGGCTCCTGGTTCTGGCTTTGTTGCTCCGGTTCTTCTCGTACTGCCGCTGTTTTTGCTGCCGAATCGTCTTCTCGGGCTTATCCTCGTCTGAAACTGCGACCACTGGAATCTCTTCACCGGGGTTCCTTATGGGAGCTGCCGGGAAGAACAAATCCTGTTGGATGCATACTGACTGTTTGCAGCTAGAAGTCTGAGCCTGCAACGGAACGACCTGGTCCAACTCCAGCTTGACGGGAACGATGGCCATGGGCTCGCGTTTCACGTTTGCCTTCTGCTCGGCCTTCACGAGCTCGGGCTTCACGTTTACTTTGGACTCGTTGGGCTCAGCTTGGAAGTTCTTCACTAGCTCGGGTTCCTCGTGTAGCTCGGGCTCAGCCTGCGGCTC